TTTTACCAACGAATAGTGGGATTGACCATTACATTATAATGCCCCACAGCTGAAAGGGCAAGCATATTTGGTGGGACGGGGATTCGAACCCACAACCCTCAGACTGCGAGTCAAATGCCCTAACCACCTGGCCATGCCAGGCCGAGTGTAATAGTTTGTCAGTTAGATATGTTAAAATGTTCATTCCTGCTCAGTTGTAATAATTTGTTAAAATGTTCATTCCTGTTCAGTTGTAATACTTTGTCAATTATATATATGTTAAAATGTTCATTCCTGCTCAGGTGTAATAGTTTGTCAATTATATATGTTAAAATGTTCATTCCTGCTCAGTTCTAATAGTTTGTCAGTTATATATGTTCAAATGTTCATTCCTGCTCAGTTGTAATAGTTTATCAGTTATATATATGTTAAAAATGACAATTTTTGCCTATTCAAGATCAAGGCCTACATAAACTTTACCTATTATGTTTCTATTTTATGTATTAAACATCTACCATAAAACTGTGTGCAAACCAAAACAAGCGACTCATAGGTTTTCACTTTTACACTTTTGCTGCTACCTTTTCTTGCATTAGCATTGTTACATGAAATGATAAGAGTGAAGAATAAAAGAATAATTTATAAATAACTAAGAATAAAAAATGTTAAATCCAGAATAATTTAGTGACAAGTGATGAAATGAATGAAACTTATTTTTAGTATCTTGAACAGCTTCATAATTGAAAAACTAAATTAGTAACATATCCAAATCCTATATCAATTTAGGTTCACTGTGGTGCATCTAAGACAACTAGAAACACAAAACATGAAGAATTGAATATATCATGTTAAAACAATTTTGAATAAACAAATCAGCAAGTCACGTGACAAGCACAATCAATAGGGTAGAACTGAATGTATCAGTACTACATTTTGATATTGTTTGGTATTTCTTAGATAACGTGATGCCATCAAAAACTAATCACTTTTGGAAAAGGTATGTAACAGCCGTTTGGACATCTGTCATTTCTAATCCATCAATAAGATAAAACAGCTGTTTGGACATCTGTCATTTCTGATCCATCAATAAGATAAAACGGCTGTTTGGACATGTGTCATTTCTGATCCATCAATAAGATAAAACGGCTGTTTGGACATGTGACATTTCTGATCCATCAATAAGATAAAATGGCTGTTTGGACATCTGTCATTTCTGATCCATCAATATGATAAAATGGCTGTTTGGACATCTGTCATTTCTGATCCATCAATAAGATAAAATGGCTGTTTGGACATCTGTCATTTCTGATCCATCAATAACAAATCAGAAATATAAAAAACAGACAATGATTAAGATTTTACCCACAGTTAACATATTTACTCCTTTCATAACTAATTAGAGACACATATTTTACCTTCTTGTGTAATGCAGCACAGAGTCCTTTTTCAAGATCAGGAAGTTTAGAGAGAAGTTGAGCTAGCTTGCTGAAGAACATACAATCAGAGTGAAGAACTTCTGACACAACCTCTTGTCGCTCCTCTATCTGACTATTAAAAATATCAATAGATTTATACATCATCAAGATAGAATGTTGTTTAACTTCACATCAATAGATTTATACCATTATCAAGATGGAATGTTGACCACCTAACTTCATATCAATAGATTTATACCATTATCAAGATGGAATGTTGAACATCTAACTTCATATAAATAGATTCATACCATCATCAAGATGGAATATTGAACATCTAACTTCATATAAATAGATTCATACCATCATCAAAATGGAATATTGAACATCTAACTTCATATCAATAGATTTACACCATCAAGATTGAATTTTGAACACCTAATTTCATATTAAAATCCAAGACTAAGGTTTTCATCTATAATAAGTATTAATAAAGGCAAAAACATTTTTCTTTAGGTTATTATAACTTTTACTATGTTTTCATATATATATATATATACACACACACATGCATCAGCTGTGAGTGCAGCATATTTATTTGATACATTTATCAACTATTTTAGCAAATACATGTAAAAATAACATTCTCACATAAAACAGTTCAGATAATATGTTCATTAAAACTGGTGAGCAGCAGTAATATATACAAGATTTAACTTCTTTTTAATGTAGTTTTGAATTATTATGTACGAAGTTGGAAGAAACTCAAACAGAAATAACAAAACAGTTTTATAGAAATTGTGCAAAAAATTATAAGATACAATTGAATAGAGTTGTTTAAACAATTGTTTAACAACAAGTAAAAGCTTGGAATGGTCTGTTCTTTAATTGGAGGTGTCCCTCTGAGCCAGACTAGTTTTGGAGAATTCCACTCCTCATTAGTGACCCTGGACACTATCACTGAATGAAACTTTGGACCAAACCAAGCCTTTATAGTAGTGAGGTACTGAAAATCGAAATGGTGTATTTAAGTGTTTTACACTCACAAAAAAGAAACCTATCATTCCATAGGTATTTGAAGAACTTGTAACATTCTGCCACAATTTAGTTCTTCGTATTTTCAGCCGACACTGGGCAGCTGGTACATAATTGAATATAGTTGTTTAAACAATTCTCCGAAACTAGTCTGGCCCACAGACACACCCCCAATGAAAGAATAGACCATTCCAAGCTTTTACTTGTTGTTCAACTCTATTAAATTATGTACCAGCTGCCTAGTGTCAGCTAAAAATACGAAGAACTAAATTATGGTGGAATGCTACAAGTTTTTCAAATACCTAAAGAATGATAGGTTTCTTTTTTATGAGTGTAAAACACTTAAATACACCAGTTCGATATAAGATACAATGTACGAGTTACAATTAACATATTATTTCTTTTAATCTGATAAATAAACTCAATGATTACTTCATAATTCTAGATGAATTATGAATTATTGTGAATACAATACAGAGAACAGAACAAAAGTCTTACCAATTCTTTATCTGCATAGACTCAAGTGAGTTCAAAAAAGAAACCAATTTTTTTAGATATAACAAATTAAAATATTTAATCAGAAAATCAAAAGCAAACTATCTGCATTAGTAGAATAAAACAAAATTAACTTTACCAAAAATCATGAAGAATAAAACACAATTTGTTTAATAACCTTACCGAAAATCACGCAGAGGTTGCCTCAACCAATGTTTAAGCATTCGACTTCCAAATTTTGTTCTTGTGTGATTCAGAACCCAAAAAAGACTCCCATATTCCTTAAAATCACTCTTGTTTTGAAATATTTCTAAGTTTCTTATGGTAGTAGCAGGTAGATTTATATACTGTGAAGTTGTTGACAAGGGAGAGAAATTACTACAGATAAAAAACACAAAAATCAGAATAAGAACTGACAATAATAAAATTATGTATTTACAAGATCTGTAATATGCAAGGTTAAAATAGTCTTCACAGATGTGATACAAAATACACATTCTTTCTAATAAAATACATAGATATCTTCAAACCAAATAATGATAGCAGCTATATGAATTAGAAACAATGTTAATTACTGGATTGTATTTGAAAACACTACAACATATGATGAGTGCACAACTTCAAAACACTCAGACTTACCTCTGAAATATGAAAAGCCTTTCCTCATTGAGTTATTCTGATGTTATTAACAGCCATGTGACTGAAGTTCTAATGTCCTTGACACAATGCAGAGTATCAAGAAGTTTTCCCAAGAGTTCTCCACTCTCCCAACTTCAACGTGACCAGTATCAGGAGGATATATACAAGCTCTACTTTCCCACCATAATCCAGATTTTCTTGTTGATAGTTGTACTGTTATGTTCATTAATTATCAACATTAATTTTGAAGCAAATGTTTCAATTAATAATGGAAATTCCACAAATGTGTTGGAAATCTCAGCTTTTACAGTGTACAGGAAGATCCCATGGCTGTATTGTCAGCCTTTAATGATTAAAGTTAATGCAAGTTTTCTGGTGGTCTCCTTGGTGAGTTTCATAATAATGTGGATGTTCAATTTGTGAAACAAACCATTTTCTCATGATTTTGAACAAGTTACTCAGGTCTATTCATCTTCAATGTATGCCGCCGCTAATCTGATAATGCTTCTGCTGGACTGATTACTCCTTTTTCTCAGGTGTCTTCTCTGTAAAACCTAGAACCAATTTCTATTGCACTTCAGGGTTTTAGTGAAATTACATTATTTTCTTTTATATCTTCTAGCTTCTCCTGATATATGAGCCCTCACTGATGCTTTAAGAAATTAGTGAAATACTAATAGTCCTGAAGTTCCCCAAGTTTATCATGTGGGTGGCCTTTTAGTGGTGTCACCCACCTTTCTCATAGCCTTCAAGTTTATCCTGTGAGTGGCCTTTTAGTGGTGTCATCCATCTTTCTAATAGCCTTCACGTTTATCCTGTGGGTGGCATTTTAGTGGTGTCATCCACCTTTCTAATAGCCTTCACGTTCCCAAAGTTTATCATGTGGGTGGCCTTTTAGTGGTGTCATCCATCTTTCTAATAGCCTTCACGTTCTTCAAGTTTATCATGTGAATGGCCTTTTAGTGGTATCATCATCTTTCTAATGGCCTTCACGTTCCAAGTTTATCATGTGGGTGGCCTTTTAGTGGTGTCATCCATCTTTCTAATAGCCTTCAAGTTTATCCTGTGGGTGGCATTTTAGTGGTGTCATTCATCTTTCTAATAGCCTTCATGTTCCTCAAGTTTATCATGTGGGTGGCCTTTTAGTATTGTCATCCATCTTTCTAATAGCCTTCACGTTCCCCAAGTTTATCATGTGGGTAGCCTTTTAGTAGTGTCATCCATCTTTCTAATAGCCTTCATGTTTCCCAAGTTTATCATTTGGGTGGCTTTTTAATGGTGTCATCCATCTTTCTAATAGCCTTCACATTCCCCAACTTTATCATGTGGACGGCCTTTTAGTGGTGTCATCCATCTTTCACTAATAATCTAACCTCTAAAGTTCTTGTCTCGCCATCCAAACAGTCATCTATTTTGACCCATTATCAATTTTTTGCCCTGAACTCTATATTTTTGTCGTTACCAGTCTTTCTTCTTCTGCACAATTAATTGATTATTATTCTCATGTTTCATGTAGTCAGAAACTAGTTTCTATTCCTTGCTGTCTTTCTTAACTGCAGGTCTCTCTGATCTAATCTCTATTACTATGTGGCTGATTTTTATATTTCTATGACAACTTAGTTCCTTGTCTTGTGTGACAAGGTACTTGTATACCCCCCCCCCCCCCCCAACATTTCACCCTTACCTTAAAACATATTCTTTCCTCCATCATTTTGCATGAATTTCACCGAAATTAGTTTCCTGTAGGAAAATGCGTGTCAAAAGAAGCTGATAAGAGTTTTAGTTTCTTGATTTACTTCTGGTCATTGTTTCTCTTAGAGACAACCACCAAGTAATGTTCATTCTGTCTCCACTCAAATCTTTATCTGGAGACAACTCATTTCAAAATGGAAAAACATGAGTTCCCAGTTCCTTCTGACACAACATTTGGTGGATTTGGAGTTTTGGATAAATATAGTTCAAGGAACTCTTCAATTATCTCCTATGGCATTGCAAGTATTGGAGTCTCATGTACCTACACTTATGTGTTCCACAACTATAGTCAAAGACATCCTTTTTGCTTTGGGGACAATGGCTTAACTTCATGAAGTCATTCCTTTGGAGTGTGCTCCCACATGACACCTCCAATGGTGCCTTACTTCTCAGTGGCATATGACTTCAGATGAGTTGTCATGCAGCATAAATATTTTTCCCATGACTCTTGAGTTTCTCCAATTTTGGTTGAATCATGAGTTTATGACAGTAGGATCTCCATTTCTTCTTCATCCTCCAGACCTTCATCTTTTCACAGCTGCCTCTCTCACAAGTTGACGCACTATGTTGGGGAATCAGCGTATGTTAGAACTTTGAGCTGTTCAGCATGCTTACCTCAACTTTTTGCTCATTCTACACCACCATTCTGTGTTAGTTCTTACAATAAACTCTATGGTGGTGACTTGTGTCAAAAATTAGGGCGGAAATCACTTGTGCAACCTTTCCTTTGCTGCAGTTTCTCTACTTCATTAGCTTTATTCTTAATATGTTCACTTTTGAGTCTATCATGCTCCAATGGAATAAACCCATATTTTGCAGTGGCTATGTGAATAGCTGGGTTGTCAAATAATCAATAACCTCAGACAACCATCTTCTCCTACTTTACTGCTCTTCAGTTCTACATCCACATTCTCTAGCACTGGGCATCCTGAGTCAATCTCAGGAAAACCTCTTTTTTATATCCATATCCTTCTTTCAGCATTCTTCCTGTGGTATTTTCCAAGATCAGTTCCATGAAGTGCCATGTTCTCCTTATCACTCAACTTTCACCAGCTCAACCATGAGAAACCAGTCCCATTACAACCATGAAATAATCTTCTGACAAACCTTGAATGTCAAATGTTTTACACTGATGTTCAATGTCATAGCTGACTTTGTTTGCTCCTTTGTCAAAAAAATTGAATTTTCTTTCCAGATAGCCTGAATTTTAGTCAATTCTCACAGACACTCTTCTCCAGCTGTATATAAATCTCATTGCACTTTCTTCCAGAGTTGATGCATTAGACATATCTGCAATTCCTCAACAGATTGCTATTTTCTATGTATTTATTTCATAATCATGGCTTATCAACTTCTTCCACTGCTGGTTACAGAGCTGTCTTACTTGACACTTTCAGATGCCAAGAAAGGCAGCAATGTCTTCAGTCACCAAGAATACAAATCTGCTGGACTCAGAAAAGGAGATCCAGCATTCGAAAGTAAAGCAAACGGGATCAGGTGTCCCCTTGACAATTGATGTAACCGACAAACAGCTATCTCCTAAGAATCCAAGTTCATTCCTATCTCATAAGAGAAGAATCTGTAAAGAGATGCAAGTTAAAATGGGGAGGAAGTAGAGGAATACCCGTCAAGGTGTTGTCTCTGTTGAGCCACCAGGCAAATTCAACTTGTAGGGAAGAAGAAAGGAGGATGGCAGAGTCCATGGGATCCTAAATGAGATTCCACTGATTGAAGGCAATACATGTGTGCACAACCCCAAGGGAAAAAGGATTCTAGGTAAGCCCAGGTCCCCAAAAGAGAGGAAAAGAAGGAGAAGACTTGACTTTGGAAATCAAGAACTCCATTGCCTTCAAGCAAAGAGGAGAAGGCTGGGCCCTGCCAGGGTAGATGTTGAAAAACACATCCAGATGAATAACATACTATGTGTGGGTGAGATGAGAGGAGGTAATAGTTGTAAAAGTCTTGTTGGAAAGGAGCTAAAAGGAGACAATCATCCATATGATGGTGAAACCATAAACCTTGGTTGTGAACACAGCAGGCAATGGCTATGACCACAAGACAGAAGACACATGTCACCAATACCAGACCAAATGTTAGAGAGTAGAAATGAAATACCAAACCCCCATGAACAAACTGAAGGTAAAGTTCGAATGCTAGAGAAATTGGGATATGAATGTAAGCATCCAAGAGGAGTGAATGACCATTGGAGGGTGAGAAAAGACTCCACAGTGAATCATGGAGAGGTTGATGAAGCAGTTGAGATTGGATAAATCAATAACAGGATGCCAATCATTGGTCTTCTTAGGAACAACAAATAGTCAGGAATAGAGACTCGGAGAAGGATGAAAATGTTTCAATAGCATCCTTGTCCAAGAGATCCAAATCCATCTTTGAAAGACACTGGCAAGAAAATGGATCCCAAGGAGGAGGGAAAGAAACTGGACATGGGGATAATGAGAAGGAGCAGAAAAATGTAGAGAAAGTCCTTCTGTCAGAACCTAAAAAACCTTAGTGTCCATGGTGAAAGGGCATTACAGATGAGCAAACATGGCCAAATGCACTCTCACAGTGCTGGAACCCATGGGATAATCACGAATGAAACTGACACTGGAAAATGTGATGATGGACAATTTGGTGACTTACTGCAGAAACCAGGGAAGGTGGCACCGGTAGAGAGGAGGATGCAGGGGAGTGAGACATGGGAGCAGGAAAGGAGTGGGAAGGATGAAAAATAAAGGAGGAGAAGAAGAATGATGATGCACAGTCTCCACCCAAGGCTCTAAAGTATCAGGGATATACCCAAAAACAGACTGGCACAAGAAAGGAGCCAGACAGCGATCATATAAATAAGAAGCTGGCAAACACCTGTGACAAGAGGGTGGCCCTGCCAAGAAGATCCTAACAACAAAGGAGCTATGTATGAAGGGTCAAGGTTAAGGAAGATAAGCATTCCAATATAGAAATAAGAAGGATAATGCATTCACCAAAAACCCCCTCAGGGGAACAGTGGATAGCCTTGGAAAGGAGGAGAATGGATGAGAGATAATGGAAGACAGTAGTGAGGGTGAGATGAAGATGAGAGAATTGGGCCGTGGAAAATTGTAATGTAGTAGTAGGATCGGAGCCCCATGCCTGAATCAGAGACTCTGAGGCTTGAGTATCCAAAAAAAAAGAAATTCTGACTTATGATATACCAAAGCATGCGAGTCAGCCAAATTCAGGGGTAAAGGAATGCTGTCATCCAAATATCAGGTGGGGGGGAACCAAATAATCCAATGTCAGGGCAGAATAGAAAATGGAAGGAGATCATAAGACACAAGGGAAAGAGACAAGAGGTAACATACCTGAGAAATCATCTCTAAAAGTGCAGACAAAGGACAAGGTAGATTGAGAGGGATAGAATGAAAAGGCACAGCAAATACAGGAGGTGGAGAAAGGCTGTCTAAATCTTATTCTTCAGGAACAAATTCACCAGGAAAAAGAGGTCTGACTGGGGTTCCAGAGACATAGGTAACTGCATGATGGACTCTAACTTGTGATGCACCAAGGACAAGACCTCCTCCACTGAGTGTGTAACCTGAAGTCATAAAAGTAGTAAGGGTTGTTGGATCTGTTTTGGCAAGATACCAGAAGCTGTTGTTGTAATACTAAATTGAAAGTTCATTATGTGAAAAAGAAAAGAAATGAAACTTTCCACAAAAAAATGTTTAGCAACAAAAGAAATTAGAACAAGGTTGTTAATATAGTAGTATTAAGTGAAATTGCACATGATAATATGAAACTTGGAGCACAAATCAAGCATGACTACACATTGGAATGCCAAATTGAGAAGTGATGATAGTGCTCCAGAGTATTCAGGGAGTAAGCTGCACTTGGAAGGTGTTTTGCATGCTCATTTAAGTGCTACATTGCAGGTATACCAGATGAAATCATGTGAGTGTAGGTGGGAGCATCAAAGATAGTAGCAAGCAAAAATTGCCCAAATAGAGGGCACCACAAGTTGAGAAACACTATTATGTGAGCGATTGTACGTTATCATATCAGAATTACACTTAGGCTTATTTTTACATTTCTTGGCTTCTCCTTCATACTAACATTTAGCAACTTGATAGTTCTATCCTCTTTCCCTTAAACCATATTTTATTTTATTGGGTGCATCAGGCAGAAGATGCTCTAATATCTCTGTCCTTAATGCTTCAAATACCTTATTTTCTCAGAAGGCTTTATATGTATACCAAGATTGAGCCTTCATACCTAAAAGTTGGGCTGCAAAATAAGATAATCTCCGTTTCTCACCTGCTGTGTTACATACCCTTACTGATTCTTCATGGGTGCCTGCTGGCTACAATGGTTTCACAACTGGGATGGCCTTTTCAGATGTGGATATAGGCACCCTTTGTCCCAGGAACATGCTCAATCATTAGTTATTATTAGTGGTCTTCACCTCCAAGAATCTAAAAGTAGAGGTGCAAGTCAGTGCCTTGCCCCTAATTATATATTATCTCACTATCTGTGACACATCTGTGCCTTGCTCTTGATTATATATTATCTCACTATCTGTGACACACCTGTGCCTTCGTCTTGATTATACATTATCTCACTATCTGTGACACACCTGTGCCTTGCCCCTGATTATATATTATTTCACTATCTGTGACAACACCTGAGAACTGGAATTTTCTAACGGTATATACATATTGCGTGACCCTCCTTTTATATACTACTTAAAAGTTTCTTAGGGCTATGACATAACCTACCAAGAAGATTATTTTTTTCTGAGTGCCTCATTTGGTCACTTATGAGGTTAGTCAACTACACTCAGTTCTCCCATTAATCCAGTCTATTGACTTTTACTCTGGTTCTGGATTCTATTAAAACTCTACTTGATTACATCTTTTTAAGTTTTGTGGTTGAAGTTGATGTTGTTACTTTCCAGCCTGAGATGTCCAAATTTTGGTGATCCAATGGTCTTTATGCCTTTCTCCAGTTCTCTCCTTTAGCTCAGTGTGGGTATTCTGGCTTTTTGTATTCCAGAGTAAGTGTGTCTCTTCTGAATTTATATTTTCAGAATTAAGATGAATTCCAAACAGGTACTTACCTCTGAAAAAATATTCTCACCCACCTTTACAGAACTGGGATAATTTGATTTCCATCACAGCTTGAACTAAAAACTATGGAGTATGCAGGAAAGCAGAGCTTATATACATCATCTTGGCAGTGATGCAATAAGTAATGTGGAAGGTAAGGGATTGGAGAGCTCTGGGTAAGCAGATGCATGCTCTGCAGTGTGCCAAGGACATTCATAACGTTAGTTGCATGGTCATTAACAGCAAGAAAGAACCTCATAAGGAAAGGTTTTCTACATTTGGGAGATAAATACTTGTTTGAAATTCATTTGAATTGTGAAAATGTAAATATGTAACAAATATTGTAGTTTTTATAAAACTGTTCAAACGTCCAACTACACTACAGATATATTACAATTCAAAAGTAGACTTCTGAAAATGATAGATAATAAAAAAAAAATTAAAATGATAACTACGACCTACCTGGGATTGTATAGAACAGACTCCAAATGGAACATTTCCAAGTACTTAATTAATGAACTCAAACAGCATATAATAACAGGTGGGAAATCCATCACTTTCTGTAAGTTTTGACTTCTTTCAATTTCAGAGCTAGCATGACTGTCATCAGAGCTACACTTTTGATAAAATGTTGATACAATACTAAGTGCAGTAGTAAAATCAAACGTGTTGTCAGAAACCCATTCAATGCGACTTCGATCATCAGCAGTAGGACTAATAAAAAAATCATGATAACACTATCATTCAGTTAAAAACTGTTTTATCTGACTCTGATATAAAACGACTTTTTTGCTTACTTAGGAAAATTCTAATTTCATCTCAATTATTTTCTTTCTACTAAAATAGCTACCTGATTTTCATAACTGTATGAAATTCATTTAAGTGACTATTGTCTTATGAATATATATAATTTAATATAATCATGCTTCACAACTGTGTTTTAGTTTCAAGTGCAGGGTTAGTTTAAACTTTGTTTTCATAATTGCAGTACTACCATTTGTTCATTTACAAGATTAGAACAATGTCACTGTGTGTTGGTTATTGCCCTAGTGTTTAGTTTTAATGACAATTAATTAACTGTGAATTGATTGTAAATATAAAGATCAAATTGTCACTGATGTTACAGTTAAGTGTTACTACATGTTTGGACATAAGTCTAAGAAAAAGACTAATCAACTGGCAATATCAGTCCCAGTGTTAACCTGGAACCAAATTGTGTGCAACATTTTGGTACATGAATCTCTGGAAATAGGATAAATTTTCAACACAAATTAGATTTACAAACTGTACCAGATAGTGACACACACATGTTATGGAGTTTGACAGATCATCAAACTAAGAAAACACTTCACCACATTTGTTACTAAAGAGTGGAAATAACATTCAGATACTTTGTTATCAGTTATAAGCAGTGCTGATCATCATAAGGCACCAGGGATGCTTCTTGATCATGGTCAGTGTATAATCATCTTAAGAATGGCATCTACATTCTAATAGGCTACTGGTCCAGCATCACTCGCCTTACTTGTTAGAGTTACAAACAGGGATTATGAACAGTGAATGTGTAATGTATTGCCTACAAGCAAAGATATATTAAAAAATAGTATTCAAACAGATATTGTTCAATTTGCTGGGGACCTTGACTATCCAGCAAGAGATGAAGAGGAACAGGGCAACCAAGTCATAAAAAATGAGCTCATGCATAAAAAGTGCATCACACACCACCAATCTCACATTATGATACATTACTGAAATGTCAGGGGGGACTAGGGGAAGCTAATTCTGCATTGTGTTTTCAAGAAATTAAGCTTCCAGACCCTGAGTAATTAGCTCTCACTGACCCAGAAGCTGGGGGAAAAAACTGCAGTTAGACATGGCAGTAGCATCTGCTATGAACATTATGACAGCTCACCACTGCAAGTTACAGACAGCTCCCCCTAAGTTATCTACACACATACAAATACTAATGTGTATATGAGAGGAAACACAGCACATGCTGAAGATTGAAGGTTCCTGTTGTAGAAGATTTTAATGACAGACACCTCATCTGGGATGCAGGTGAAAATACCAATGGCAAAAGTTTACATTCTTCTCTCCATAGGCATAGCCATCAATCATATACTGCTAAACTCAGGCAAATCAACAAGAATTGCTAAGTGCCAAGGAAAGAGTGATTCCTTTTGCTAAACTTACCTTGAGTGTCATCTGTACTCAGTATAGTGGACATAATGTCTTCAGTGGTCACCTCATGTGTGACATACATGTGAAGACTGGAAGACAAAGTGGTATAAAATAATCCAGAAACCCATACAAGGATATCAAGCTTTCTAGCAGTGCTTGTGCCTTCAAGCATCTCTCAACCATTGAGCAAAGTCAAAGAAACAATTCCTATTAAAAGAACATTCCATGTTGGTGGAATAGTGATACTCATAAAGCATGAAAAGTTTGCAATCAAGCTCAGGCTGAGTTCATGTGGATAAAGCAGTCTAGGAATGGAATAAACTATCCAGCAACGCCACTCTCACGAGTACATAGTTCTGGTGCTTCCACGAGCTTAGGACTGACACAGGAACTAAAAGCATGTCTAAGTCAGTATCAAAATAGCTTGGAAACAGGTAGAATGTCTGAAATATGGACTGATGCCTTTATCAAATCCTTACCCAAATGTTTGAAGGATCACTCTTGTCTTAAAGGCTATTGAATCATCATCATCCTAAAAAACATAATTGACAAGATTCCTGAGAAAGATATAGCTTAAGGCTTGCCTATTACATTTAGCCACTACTACCATCATCATCATCATCATTAGGTGGTTAACACAGTGGACAAGAAACCTGGATCAATGCTTATGACTTTGTAATTGAAACAAGGGAAAGCTATGAAGCTGGTCAAACTACTACCATCACAGTGGAAAAGAAACCTGGATCAATGCTTATGATTTCGTAGCTGAAGCAAGGGAAAACTATGAAGCTGGTCAAACTACTACCATCATCATTAGGTGGTTAACACAGTGGAAAAGAAACCTGGATCAATGCTCATGACTTCGTAGTTGAAACAAGGAAAAGCTATGAAACTTGTCAAACTACTACCATCATCATTAGGTGGTTAACACAGTAGAAAATAAACCTGGATCCATGCTTATGACTTCGTAGCTGAAACAAGGGAAAGCTATGAAGCTGGTCAAAACACCTTAGCAGTAGCTTTAAACCTAGAATATGACAGAGTTCACCTATCCATTCTTGTTGACAAAATGCTAAGGATAGGCATCAATGTTACATGTGTAAAAGGGGCCCTAGCTGCATAACTACCAGAAGATGGACTGGCAATCAGACTAGTACATCACTGGTCTGCCACTCTTGAACAATGGATCTAGCCCACCTTAACAGTCCAACAAGATGCTGTGTGCTAACCTTTGCTTTTTACATTCTATTGTATTATACCACAAAGGCCCTAGCAAAACTGAAATCAAAAGTAAGACATAAACATCCCTAAACAGCATGAAGAAATAGTGCAAAGACACAGCAATGGTCATCAATTCTTCCAAATAAGTCATGTTCTGCACATTTAATAACAGAAATTTATAAATAACAAACTACCACCACCCTTTGTGAGCACTGCTACCCTTCTGGAAGAAACAATGAAGTACCTGGGAGTGATCTTTAATAGACAATTGAACTTCACCAACTACATTAACACCATGATGATAACAGCTACCAAAGGCATCAATGTGCTGAAAGTTGCAGCTGGAAATAGAACTAAAGAGCATTACCTGCTTATGTTTTACCAAAGTCTTATCTGTTCCTCCCTGGATTATGTACTACTGATGATCATTATGAGTGCTACATAGCTAGATAAGGTTAATCCTATGAGGACACCACCATTTTTAAACCTGACTTTGTGCATGTTACTGAGTTACATTCAAAATTTAATTAACTCTCTGAACATGGGCATGGCCAATTTGACCGACCATATGATCTCTTTGTACTCGTTTAAAGCCTTTATAAATTTAATACTTCTAATTTTCAATGTAATGAGTATATCTTCACAAAATTTGGTAGTCTTTCAGTTAACATTATAAGTCTTACACATACAAAAATTTATATGTTTTAGTAAAGTATTTTTAATAAACTAAAATAAAGATTTGTTCATAAATATATTGAATATTTGTGTGCAAAGTAATTTTCATGTTAACATTAAAAATACTTTTCTTCATCTCAAAAATCTCAAATTTCCTTTGTGTGATCTCTAAAACCTCTTAAACACATTTCAAACGGTTTTTTTCAGTAAAACATAATAGTTTATCTGGTATTTTCTCAACCCTATCTCTATATGGGATTGGTCAATTTAACAGACCTCATAACCACCCAAAAAAAATCTAAATAAATCAAAATTATCCTTTTTTTTTTCTAGAATGACTTCAAATTGTAACATGAATCTACACTTGTTTATCCCAAGTAGCTTTAAGCTCATAACAATATACATCTATTTATAATTAAATTTTATTGTCTTATTGCCTTTTGAACCCTATGTAACTACTATCTGTGCCATTATAAGTTGTAAATCACTCAGAAAACGTACAGCTCACATTACGCTATTGAATCACATTGCCCATGAGATAATACGAGATGCTCGTGTACATGCCTCGTGAAACATATTTACTATATTAATATTTATTTTACCTAATCTAACCTTAACTAACCTAAAAAGATCCCTATTTTTACATTTTAGTTACTTTTATAATAATAAATAAAGAATAAACATGAAAAACAAGAAATAAAGTACTTACCCAAACTTGTTTTTTCTTGCTCTCTATTGTTGATGACACTTAACCCTACTTTTTTTATACTAATGGTAGTAATGCATTAATAAGTTTTATCTAATTAGATAATGCACCAAAGAACACAGATTAATAACATGCAAAAAGTAGACAATATCCCCTAACTATAAAAAATTTTTTGGCTTTCTAACTATGCGACAAGAGCCGTTACAAATTCATCCAAGCTAATCGTTACTAATCCTGTGTGAATCAAACCTGTACTATTAGTGAAATTGATGCTTATCTGTTCAGAACATGTTATACAATATGTTATTTGATAGATGAAAACCTTGGCTTTCTATTGGTTATAGGTAATATATAATTAAACGTAAGAGAGAACCATTAACAAATCCTGAAAGAGAATATGTGACAAGTGGGTGTGACAGAGGGGTCTGATTTTTTTTTTGATAGCTCTGTAACCAAACAAAATTGAAGGCTATAAAAATTATAGTTTGTCTGAGCAATTACAATTTTATAGTGAGTAATTTATACTTAATTTCGTAGTTATTGTAGGGGTGTTGGATAAAATAGAGAAGATACCTAGAGAAAATGTGTCATGTGTGTCACAATTAGGGAAATTTGGAATTTTTACAAACACTGCCTTATAGAATTAAGAACTTAAAACTTGTATACTATTAAGATGTGAATTATTAGCTAAGATTTTATGCTATTCTATTTGATATAATATAAACAGAAAGTAGTTTAATAAATTTTTGAATGCAAGCCTTGTGTCATGCTCAGTAAAGGATACTCATGACAATAGGGTTAAACCACTTTACTATAAATGTATTTTAATGAAGTTATCATCATCAAGTACTTTAGAATTCAAAGTTTTATATCATATAAGTTTTTATTCCTTTATTTCAAAAGAAACCTCTAAAACAATAATTAAAACTTC